CCCAAAGCTGGCAGTGCCAAAGCCCTCCCACCCAGCAGCGGAGCCTCAGCCCCACCCGCTGAAGGGTGTGTGGTGTGTCCGGCCCTTCCCATACCTGGATATCCTGGAATGCCTGGGAGCAGATGGTCCCTCTGCAGGGCGTTATGGTGAATTCCATGGGCTCCAGGAGAGCCTGAGCTCCCTTCCTCCGGGATGGGCGAGCGTTGCCGGACACCTGGTCAGCGCTGGCCAGGCTGGGCTCTCCAGAGCCATCCTGGGGGATGCGGAGGGTGAAGGCCATGGGCATCAGCGAGGTGTTGGTCAGGCGACAGGACAGGCTGCGAGGAAAGCCTGGAAAATGGCACAAGTATCCATGGAGGATACCAGGATCATCTCATGATCCCTGGTGGGATGAAACTGCGCTTGGAGTTCAGCTCTTTGTTATCTGAGCTACAGCTCATTGAGCAGCTCAGGTCATTTAGTTCCCTTGGATGCTGCTCCCAGATTGCTGCCTTGGAAATGCCCACTCCTGCTCTGCAGTGGATATCTGGCTTGGCTGGCCAGCTCTGTGGGGAGGAGACATCTCCCAGGGCCTGCTCACCAACACAGATGGGGAGAGAAAAACAACTGCAGGTACATCCAAGAGCTTCTCTGTGCCCATCAACAGTGAGCGCTGCCCAGCTCCAGCAGGGAGGCAGGAGGGGCACAGAGAGGACAAACACAGATGTCACAAGCTCAAATGAGACCAAGGTCACCAGATGCAGACAACAATCAGCAGCACAGTCAAATGAAACAAAGATACAACAGCTGCCTTCAGCTGAAGAGGCCTTAGGAATGAAATCAGATTAAGCACAATGAATTTTCTATTATGTAACCATATTCCTCTCTGCTGCCTTTCTTGTTGGTTTATTCATTCAAAAGGAAACTGAGAAGTGGTCACTGACACTGGCCTTCTATTCCTTTGGTCCCACTTGACTTCATGGTGGCAAAGTTCTGCCTGAGCCACCAGCAGCCCTGGAGCCAACACCCTTAAGGCTGCTGTGGAGGAACACGAGTGACAGATGCTCTGAGGCTCAAGTGCTTCATTTCAGCAACACACAGACCTCTCACACTGCCCTCTAAACCCCGGGCACACTCACCAAAGGCGACGTCACCGAAGTGGAGGGCACGGACATTGAAATGGAAAGTCGGTCCGATGACGTAGCCCCTGTGGGGACAAAGGCAGAGGAGGCAGCAGCTGGGTTAAAGGGAATTGCAAAGGGTTCAACTCTCATGACCCCTGGAAGGGATAAAAGCTGCTGTCAGAGCCACCAGGAGTTTCAAATCAACCCACCCCCCTGTGCTCAGCACGGCATCCACCCGGACAGGGGGCAGCCAAAGCAAAGTGGGCAGCACCCCCACACTAAGGGGGTGCCAGCACCACAGCCAAGACTCAGACTTTAGACAACATCCTTTTTCTCTGCTCCACCACAAAATGAGGCAGCTGGAAGATGATTAGCCAGAGACAGCTACAGACCTGCCCACCTCCCTCCCAGAGCCCTCCTCACCTGATGGTCAAGGTGACGGGTTTGGGGGATTCGTTAACACTGAACTGGAATTCTTCCTTGAACTCCCCCGGGATGGTGGTACGGAAGGAGATGCTGATGGCCTGGAGCCCATCAGGTGCAATGATGCCCTGCTGGGGCAGGAAGGTGAAGCAGGAGCCCACGGCTGTAGTTGGAGGGATGAGGCTGAAGAGACCCTCAATAGGCCCTTTGTTAACCAGGATTGCCTGC